ATCCCTTTATATCTAAATTTCCATCGCTGGTTCTCGCATGACCTAAAAATTGTTGCATCGTTCTTATTGTTAACTCGACTCCTATGTGAGAATTTGGTGAATTAAATAATTCGATATCTGTAATGTTGTTGTTCATAACTCCCTAGTTTAGTTTGTTTGGTAATAAACAAGTTAAAGCACTCAAAGCTCTAACATTGACCATATACATTTACTCATATGATTAGTGTTAAAATAACTAAATCTAATCGTTTTCTACATATTCCATTATATTCTGCTTGCACAATCAAATTTACACAGTTTTGAAAACAAAGCAACAACAACTGAAACAAATTCTCTAATATTATATATGTCAAAATGCTCTGCAATTTAAAATGCTATCATTTTAAAATGTCCCTCCTGCACCACATGATTTCAAAATGCTATCAACTGCAGGTAATGCCTTATATCCTACCCCTATAATGCTCATAACTTTTTCTTCAACAAAAACATCCACAAAAACCCATCCATACGGCCTTACATAATCCAAACTATCAGAGTTTAAATCCCTGAAATAAAGGTGACAGCAGTCAAAACCGAAATGATGGATAGCAGCTATATGAAAAAGAATAACTACACACATCTGTCTATCAAAGGCGTCACACCTAATTATTTCAAACTGGGAGCTAAATATACAACTGGATACTATTCAAATCAAATGTTTTCACAACCAGAAAGGTTAAAAAGCCAAAAACAGGATACAACATTACGTTATATTAAAGTTACTAGTTACTACAGACCATCTCCACTATAAATACAACAGACCTGATAAGTTAGTAGTCACTCCCTCATAAACACTTCTTCACCATCCACATACGCCTTACTACTAGATGGCTACCGATTCATACTCTGAAATACCAAAACTTCTATTCTCCTACTCAAGGAAATTAACCCAGAGACACTCGCGGAGTTGCAGACATCCACTGATGTTTCTGGTCAACTTCGATTTAAGTCATTGCTCCTTTTGTTCAGAGCTTCACAAACAGGTTTTCAGTTTCTCAGGCCTGTAATTGTCATAGCTGGTCGAAGATGTGGCGGTAAAGAACCCCGGGCCTTATTAGTTGCTACGGCTGAAGATGCCAATATGCAGTGTTTCCCTTTGGCATTTGCCCTCGTCAGAAGTTTCCAAAGAATCATGGCGTTGGTTTACCATGATGCTACAACAACAATTTCAAGACAGCAATAACCTAACACTCGTTTCTGACGGGAATGCTATGATCAACCGCGCCTTAGAAGCCAGTTTTCCCCAGGCGAATAAAGCTCACTGTATTGTTCAGTTACACCGGATTATCAAGCTTCTCTATAATCGGGAACTCGCTGCTTTAGTGTTAAACGCAGGAACAGCATTTACTGCCATTGAATTCATAAACTACTTCAATCTCATTGAAGCCACTGTTCCACACTGTGCACGATATTTGAAACGCATAGGTTTACCGAAGTGGTCAAGGGTTCATTTCCAAGGCAACAGGTTCAACATCATGACAACATCACTGGCAGATAATGTTCTGAATCGCATTGGATCTAGAAATCAATCGTGCATAACCGGTATCATTGTGTTCATCCAATCCTGGATGAATCATGTTTTCACAACAAGGCGCACACGTGTTTTGGTTCGTATGGAGCACTTCACGCCTGCCGTTGAATCCCAACATAAAAAGTTACAAACGCTGGGGTCGCGACTCAAAGTTTACATCCTCAACAAAACGTCCTGTGAGGTTGTAGGAACAAATGGCGTTCGCCATCTCACTACTACTACTAGCTGTACGTGTAAGGCTTTCGAGAAGATTCAAATCCCTTGCATCCATGCTACCAAAGCAGCTCAACTTTGGGAATTGCTTTGGGAATTGCTTTGGGATCAATGGTATGATCTTATTACACAAACCAAACATGGTTCAAGACATACCCCTGTTCAATCAACTCGGCTGAGGATGCAAGTGATATTACATTTCCCGAACACATCGCTTCTTTTGAACTACACCCTCCTACACCAGGAATTCCTTTGCCGGGGAGGCCAAGGAAATTCCGCAACTTGTGGATACGTATATATTCTAGAACATAACTCATTCTTTACATTGAACTTCCATTTTCAAATTTAATATTTGTTTGTTCACTAATGTCACTATATTTCTGTCATTTATCATTTCCCCTCCCAGGTTCTACGATGGAGGAACACCTGTAGGCTATGCGGAGATGAAGGCCATAACTCTGCGACTTGCCATAACTAAGGCGTCTTCTGAGTTTAATACCTTTTGGACTTACAAGAAAGACTTAACTTCTACCTGATATATGCATGTCTTTCGATTTATTCTCTTTTATTTTCTGTTGCAATTAGTTCTCTTTTGTTTGCAACGTTGTCTACTCGCTTAATTAATATATGATGATTCTGTGGTTACACCAAATTAAGTTCCGACTCTGTAACGACTATGTTGCAACACCTGTGGATTGTTACCACTACGTCTGAGTATTTCATTGAATTGGTTTTCCCAAATTGATTAAAATGTGGTTCCATTGCTAACTAATATCTTTAGTACATAATTGGTTATTGAATATCCACTTAGTATCTATGAAATTATAACATAAGTTTTAAAAATACGTGCCAAATAGCAAAAGATACTGTTTGATACTTTTTACCAGGTGTTGCAGTCTTATTACACAAACCAAACATGGCTTTCGAGAAGATTCACATCCATCGCATCCATGCTACCAAAGCAGCCCAAACATTGAGAATTGCTCAGGGATCAATGTTAGCATCTTATTTCACAAACCAAATATTGTTAGAGACATACCCCCTATTTACTCTATAATTTGTTTTTGAACATCGCATTAGTCTAAAAATAATAACAAAAAACTTTTTAAAAAAGCGGACTAAAAGGCAAAATCTATATATGTAACCATATGAAGCTCTTTATGTTAAAAATCTGAATATGTCAAAGTCTAACCGAAGTAGTCTTCTTTTCCGGAAAATAACCACATAGACAATGCGTATTGGATGACTGTTAATTAAACGAATTATATCCTTGGGAAATGCTACTGGCTTTAGAAAATTCATGATTACACGTAACTATTCGGTGAATAGCTGTCTTGAGTCGTCGCCTAGTTAACACCCTATATAAAAATTCGGCGTTTAACCATATTGATGCAACCTGAGAACACAAGACACAAATAAATTTTAGTGCGACAATGGCTACTTTCACTGATCTCCCAAAGGATCTTATAACAGAAATCCTCGTCAAGGTTGCGAATACTTCTTTTGCCGACTTCATCAGGATCAAAGCTGTCTCAAGGTCCTTCAATGAGATAACTCAAATCGATGGATTTCTAAAAAATGTAAATCTTCCATTCATGCATTATCCATGGGAACATAGAGACCCTTTCCTGACAGATTTCAAAAACCGATGCCTCGATCGCGGGAATCCAAGTGCCTTGTTCCTCTACGGCGCATCTGAATTCTTCAAGTTTAGCAAGACCGGTGAGGGCTACGTCATCATTTTACAAGCAGCAAAGGCTGGATCATCCATGGCGCAATATTACATCACCATGTTTGACCTTCTAGCTTTTGAAAACATCAAGGAAAACACTCATATCTTCGCCAACTTGTCCCTTCAACTTGATGTTGCGATTGCGCTTCGGAAGGCTATGCAAAGGTGGTGGCCTAAACATTGGGCTTACCCTGTTCCTCAAGAGTTTCTCGACAGACAAGAAGCATTATTCACTCTATACTTTCGATGACAAATGTTCATGTTTCTACTTTCTACAAAGAAAGCTACTGGTGTAGCGGTCTGCGATGGGCGTCTTCTCCTCCGTGCAGAACGTGTGCCTGGATCTTCGAACTCAGGACGTTCTGCAACACAATGCCCGAGTTCATTTATTACTGGCCTTACTAGAAAAAATGCCATAACGCTCTTTTTTTCCTTCTATTTTTGTGATTTCCTATCTACTCAGTTTTAATGAATATTATCGACACAATGACAGTTAATGAATGTTGTATTCTCTTATTTTCTTAATATGTGAATTACCTTGTGATCTCTATCTATAGTTTAACTTTCAGAGTAACATTCAAAATTACCATATCAAATGGAGATCCTTAAGGTAACAGTTTCCAATACATTGTGACAGTATCTATACTGAAACGTCAAACGTTTCGCCTAACTAGATAAAATTTAAACCAATATAATAACCATTCTCGCCTACCATGTTTTCTAGGGGATATGACTCGCTGAATGTCGTTACACTTCACTTACAATAAATTAAAAATTTATGGTTACAAGTAAAAATATAGTAGGCTTTATCAAGCGTTTCCAAATTAACTATATAATTACTAATGTAATAAGGCAGGTTTTGAAAAATCCTATAAGAATCCATCAGATTACAAAATGAAATGTCTTAATGGCAAATTGTATCACATGCCGAATATTTAACCACATGGATATCATTCAGTGGATGTAATTAACTTAAGTAACACTCTACCTAAGTAACTGCCTCTGTCAGTCAAAAAACATGATTACACTTAACTTCCCGATAATAGTTGTGTTGATTAGACTGCTATTACCCCTACTCAACATTATTTTTTACTCTAACCAAATTAGGTATAAATATGGAAATACTGTGACAAGATATTTTCCTTTTCAACCCTATGGATGCTTTTAATTAAGTATACACTATACATTGGTAACTGCTAAACGTCTTAATTCAATTTTATATAAATATATATCTTGACAATTAAGTCCGAACAAATTACCGAGGTAAAAACTTAACCAAATGGATACGAATCAGTGGATGTAGTTTCAAAAAGTTACTGTTTACCTTGGTAACTGCGATTTTCTGTAAAAAGGTGTGGTTACACGTATCTTATCGATGAATAGTTGTAATGATTCAACTTGTATTACCCCTAATATATTAACTCCTTTAGTCCACATAAAAAAAACAGAAGCCAAAACACAAACAGAAACTCAAACGCCTTCCCAATGCCTACTCTCAATGATCTCCCAAACGATCTTAAAACGGAAATTCTCATAAGAGTTGGGAACAACTCGTTGCTAGAACTTGCAAGAATTCGAGCAGTTTCAAGATCCTTCAAAGAACTTGCTCAAAGCGATGGGTTCCTAAAAAAGGTCAATCTATTCACGAGTTGTCCATGGCGAGAACCAAGCGCTACCGATTTCAAAATCCTGTGTCTCCAACACCGCAACCCAAGTGCTTTGTTCCTCTACGGTGCCTCTGAGTTCTTCCGAGAACACCAGACAGGGGAGGGCTTTGAAATAATTTATGAAGCAGCAAAAGGTGGTTCTCAAATGGCTCAATATTGTGCCACGATGTTATACCTTCTAGCTATGGATAACATCAAGGAAAACTCGGGCATTTTCGAGGAGTTGTCACTCAGTCTTGATGTTGCAATAGCTATGAGGCATGCCATCAAAAAATTCTCCATCAGATCTTGGGATTACCTTACTCCACCCGAGTTTGATGACAGGAAAGATGCTTTCTACTCTTTTGACTGGGATGACAAATGTTCCTGTAGCAAAAAGACAGCTATTGGCTTCGGTGTCCCTATTGGGCTACTCCTCCCCCCTGCAACACGTGTTCATGGGTTTATGAAGTCAGGAAGTTCTGCAAAATAATTTCCCGGTTCATCTTTGAATGGCCGTACTAGAAGAACTATGCTCTCTGTTTACGTACTCTATTTTTTATGTTTATCCTATCTACAATGTTTCTTGGATATTATCTATTATTTTTGGTTTCTCAATTCACATATACAAAGTCGCCTGGTTAGTGTCTACTATGGTTTTGTTTTTCTGGCTTTGTATCTGTTCCCCATTACACTCTAATCATATTTTCTGTTTACTATGGTTTTGTGTTTTCCTGCTTTTTGGGGTCTCTGTGCATCATTACCCGCTAATCGTATTTATCTGCTGTCTGCTCTCTAATTAAGGTTATCAATATATGTAACAACTTAATGATTAATGCGGATTGGGGATAATTTTTGTAATGATAATGCGGATTGGGTAATAAATCAAAGACGAATTAGAATTATAGATATAATCACCTAATGCTATAATTCCCTGTCTTGTTGAACAAATTGTTGTAATTCAAGGAATTTAAACACCATTAGTCATGAAGTTTACCATATAATTACCGTCCCCGGAAAACAACATTCCAAAGAATCATTCAAAAACTCATTTGCTTATGAAACAATTTTCAGACAAAAAAATGTTAAGGGTCATATAGCATGGTCCGCCATTGACTGTCAACGTCCATACAAATAACATATTTAGTAACCAGGAAATCCAAAGCAACATCCATTATACCATGAATATATGGTCGCGATCATGAATGCTTTAACAGAACTCATATGATATGGACCTTGCAAACACAATAAAATATGTTTCTATAAATGTTTTAACAGAACTCATATGATAATGATTAAACAACCATATAAATTCGGTGTTACCGTATGATGGTAAAGAGCAATGCAATATGAAAAGTAAAGTGCAATTAAATTTGCATAAAAAAAACATAGATATTCCTTCACAATTCACTGTAATACTTATGTAACTTAGAAGCAAAGTGTTGATTTGATTACATAACCATTAAACGAATAACAACATCATAAGTATTCCAATCCGCCAATCTCTATCATGCATGTCAAACTTGTATGCCCTTTGCCATTACAGCGATCACAAATACAAGCTTGGGAGGGCTCCAAACAATAATCCTGATAGATGAAAGCAAATCAAGCTTACAGTTATTTTCCACATAGTAATACTAACGAAACTTACTTGTTACAACAATAAAAAATTTTGTAAACACAACTTACTTGTAAAATTTGACTACGTCGACGCGGTCTGGCAATGGAACGCATTAAGGGAGGCCATACACACTTTTCCAAAACGTACTGCGGGAGTTCATCATCTGCAATTATTGCCAACAGCATCACAGGAAAACTATACGTCTTCAACCATTGCCCAGTACTGTATGTTTTACTCACAAGTATGTCACTCGGGATCCCCAAATAATACGCAGCAACAAGACTATGTTCTCAGGGAACCATTGCCTTCTGTAAAACCATACACGAGCAGGTTTTCTTTATCAGATCTACTAAGAAGACATCTCCATATATGGACACAACCTCACAAATACGTCCACAGACAATACTATACCCCACCGGCCAACCGTCTTCAACTTTTTGCTAACAAGCTCTTCGATATATGGACTTAGGGCGCCTGCATGGTCAAGGGTTTTGCTGTACCTCGTAACGAAAATAGTTCAGACATAGTAGTGAATATGATTCAGCAATTCTAATATAGTTTTTTCTACTCTCAGGTGTCGCAACATCAAGAATTCGTTTAATAAAATGTCGTGTCGATCACCCTTAGAATGTGCCATGCTCCATTTTTCAAAACCAAGTTTATTTAGGAAATCGGCACAATGTATATTATTCCTACTAATACCTTTGTATGCTTTTCCGAAATCAGTTGACGTATACGCCTTCGTCGCATCTTTTACTAACCCGACCAAACCAGGGTTTCTGTAGCTTCTCCGAATCTTGGCCCAAAGATCAATGACACATATCCCCTTCTCTGCTTGCGGATACAAGGTGAATAAGGAGTTGAATGAATACTGTTGGAGAGTTGCGACTATCGTCAACTCAGGACTATCTGGAATAAATTTATCAAATTCGTTAGAAACCATTTCCATGACTCACGAGATTTCCGATCCACACAACCGAAAGCAAGAGAGATTTGTTGATTATTGGCATCAACGGCTGTCGCAAAAAACATAAAACCTTTGGTAGCACATCTGAGATACGAACCATCGATGATTATTACTTGTTTCATTTTAGCAAATGCACGCCGACAAGCTCCATACGCCAAAAACAGGAATCTAAACCTTTGACGCCCATCAAGGTCCGCTTCTGTTTCCAAGTCATAAACAATTCCAGGGTTAGATTCCTTTAAATGGTAGAGAAATCTCGGAATCTCAGAGAAAGACTCATCCATTTGCAAGGCCATTTGCAAGGTAAACAAATCTCAAAATCTTAGAAAAAAGGGACGCCTAATTTTGGCTGCAAGGTCAGAAGTTGCAAGTAATAATTTTGCTTATTCTTGCTCTAGTTATAGTGTCCACAAAGGTATAGAAAATGATGTTCTTTTAGACTAACTATGTGGACATCCTTTTTGTGGTTTCCGTTATTCATAACCACATACTACAGTTATAAAGACAGCCTGATTCATATTTAACCACCTTTAATAACTGTAAACATCTTACCTTGTAACTGGCCTATTAATTATTTTAAATCTTCTTAGTAAGGTGTTTTTTCATCTTCCTCCTCTAAAATTATTATGTTGTCCCAAATCTAATAATTGGGAAACAATTAAACTGTAAACATAATCACACGCACATCCACCTATTCCACTTTAACAACTCACTTTGTATCGCGTACCATTGTTTAAAAAAAAATATTCATACATTTATTGTCATAGTCTGCACCACTGTGTTCAACATATTCTTTCCAAACAAACCCACAATTTAACACAACTCACGAACACACTAAAAAATAAAACAAAGGTAACTAAAAGAATCAAACATATGACTAATTAACAAGGACTCGGAAGCACCATATCTTGGACAATATCCAGTACATAAGCCTTTCTGATGTCAGCCACACTTTCAGAAGTGAGTACTGGCAACGGGCATCCAAACAAATGAATTTCCATATAATTTAAAGTAACGGGTCTTGAATCGGCACTCCCAACCTCGGTCCTTGCTTCAGAAATCCTCTCCAAAGTAAAAGGGCCCAATCCCCGCGACTGAGTCTGCTGGGCGGGGCAAAGATTCCTGACAATTAGTGGTAGGAAATACAACACTAGATTCATATTCTCAGCCACTTTTTTCTCACTTACTATACCTGGGGCCGGATCAAGAATTCGTACAGTCCACAAAACAAGTCAATCACTACGCAAACTCAATGATTTGTTCCCCATATCAATTGCTTGTCCCACCGGTGATGAAAATTTGTTTCAACCAACCAGGGATCGGCAAAAATGGTCTTATCCCATACCAAATGCAATTTGTGTCTTTGACCAAGAAAATACACCATCTTCGCCATGTCCTGATAAGATAGACGATGGGTTAGCAGCAAATGTATACATTTTAAGGACCACAATTTCAAAGAAAATGACAACTCTAGCACTTTAGCCAAACAACATTTTCCACTTACATTTGTAGTCAAAGGTTTTCGTGGCATTGCGACCCCAGCTAGGAAATTGTTGTCAAACTACGTATGACTGACCAGATTATAGTCCCTGCATGTAACCTCTAATTATCCGTTCGTAATTATGCACACTAACAAAAACATAAGTTTAGATACATACATTCTCTTCGCCTCAACCAGAAATTCATGTAACAATCTGAAAACTTCTTCATCCACCTTAGGGAATAGCTCATCTATTTTTCTACGAGGTAGTCCTTTAACAAATTGTGAAGTCTTTTGTAACAACTCACCCACGTCTTCAGTTAGATTTGAAAGTCCAGTAACACTTGCTGATGCCTCATCTTTATTAAACCTAGGAACCTATACCAACAAAAAATATGCCGGGCAATTAAATTTTAAAATTTAAGTATATGTTAATGGATATATAAATTTCAAACCACTTAAAAATATCTATTACCTTCTCGATTAGAGTTTCTTGGTTAACGCCTACTCTGCCACTACCTTCTTTGTTTGACCGATTAATATCTCCATTCATATAGACAGTATTATTCAAATTTCTCTCTTTGGGTAAATTCATTTGATCGGTGCCTGAATCCTTCGCAAAAACAAAAACCAACACAAGTCAAAAAAAACAAATCCTTAATGGACGGTGTTAACCATATAGTTAGTCGGCGTGGTCAGTGTTTTTTACAACAACAGAAAATATGCTCTAGTACCACGAGATATAATTCTTTGACTCCCGAAACAACGTTTTGGACTCCACTAGGCAAACACCTTCCCTCAATAGAGAGTAGTGACTCAGCAATTGCTGTTTCCTGGAGCCTTACACCTTCCGTTATTTCTTCCGTGCCCCCTGCTTGTACCTGTTTAAACACACGTTTTAAATATTCCCAAAAAACTCTTATTCAAATATAATTGCGGGTACTTATACCTCAACAGTATCACCAAGCTTCTTTCGCTTGTAAATGACCAACGAATTACATCCACCACTCAACCTTTCTTTACAACAAACCGATTGAACTACTGTTAGCGGAGCATTTAACTCCTCCCCAAGGTATTCTTTTGCTTCCTGGAAAAATGGAATTTAAATAGATGAGCGTCAAACTGCTTAAATTATGTTTTCATTGCTATTCACACAAATGTCAAAATGATTTAACCTCTGTAGGATTCGCAACCTTAGCATTTTGGGACATCTCGTTATTGTTCTCTTCCTCAGTTTTCTGCAAATATCCAATATAAAGGTCAACAATGCCCATTTCCAAAAGGTAGTGACAAATTTATCCATTGCAAACAAACACCAAAACACCATCCTAAGATACCAAAAATAAGCGTACCTCCGTCACATTCCTTTCTATCTCTTCTGGTTCGTGATACGCTAAGTATATATTTCTAACCACACAATCAGTATCATCTCCAATAAATACGTCATTCTTCGGAAAAAACGAACAAGCTGGTAACTGTAAGCGCTAATTCTCCATTTAAAAGTACAAGTTAATGTATCTATTTGGACATACTTCGGTATATCCTTTCTTCATCATTGATCCCATCTGGTTCAGAGGCGGTGACTACACATCCAAAAAAATCATAAACATCTAACTTAGAGTCTAGTTTACAAAATTATCTTAATAAACATTTAGAAACACACAAATTCATTATCTTCGACTTCGCCTTCAAGAACTGCAGGGACCTGCAAATAAAGTCATAGTTTAATACCCTATACATTGATTTCGTAAACAGCTTAAAATTTATGTTTACATCGTCCAAACCTCTTGCCCCGGAGTTTACTTGAGGCTATCTCACCACCACACGACTCCGCCAGTTTTTCGTGGTCACTAAGGTTTCTAATCCCATCTTTTACAGGTATCAACGCTTTACTAGGTCCTGTCTCCTGCTTTGCTGTTTTAACCCTTCTTTTCCTTTTCACTCCAGCAGTACATGGTTTCCTAATTAGATTCTCCAGTTTTGCTGCCTTCTCACTTAACAAAAACAACTGCTCTATAACCCATTTCTGACAACCCTCGGGATCCTCGGGTGCTTCTGTCAGAATGGAATTACAGCTTCTGACACCAACTTTCTTATGCTGTTCCTCTGTCCTCCCTTTCTTATTCCCCCTCCTTTCTATGAGATGAATCATATGATTACATTTGGTTCCCTCAGGCTCTACCCTGCTTAACGGTTGAGAATTATCACCGCCAAGCCAATCAAGTTTTTGAAACTGATGCCCGTTCTTTATCAAACCCAACATGTAAAAAACCTTCTTATCTCAGTCTTTGTCATCCCACTCACCCCATTCATCAGCTTCGTTTGTGTCATTAGCTAAACTGGTGTGTACTACCAACTGAAAATATTTACAATTATCCTCACGAATTCAAAAATAATAAGTTATCAACACTACTAAATTAGTAAAGATTAATTACTTACAGTATCATCTGACTCAGCTTCAAGCACTTCATTCATTGACAACGAAGAATGCTTAGATAACCCCAACGTGTTTAAATCAAGAAGTGTAAGATTATCAGTTGTCTCAGGAAGCTTAGCTACCAAGGTGGGCACACATCGTAACGTTACTAGCTGTAGGACCAACAGAAATCATTGCGTTCTATATGTCTCTTGTTTCAATTGTTGAGCAAAATGGGAGACTGGGTCTTCAGCTCTTTTAAAATGTCTTACGCGCTGGAATCATTGATGCAATTGTCACCCTGAAAGATTCTCGGCCCCATGGAAAACTTAAAAATGCGTCCACGTCATCTACAACCCTGACATAACGCGGCGTAGGTCTATGTGTCTGTGTTTTTGCAATTAAAACACACTCAACTATGAGAATTAGTGCAAGGCGAAGCCGTCTGCCACCGTTCATGTCTTTTTCAGACATCAACATCTTCGCAATATCAGCGCATGTCGTCCTCTTGTCATCACCAATCCACTTACGCCAACAATTATCCACCCCAAGTGCTTCGTTTTGAAATACTGAATCAGGATCGTAATCCTTGTTAAACTCACCACAAGGCAAGCCAGTCTCCAGCTGAAACTCTTTCAACGAAAACCTTATTGGATATCCACCGAAAACCGTCCACATCTCGTATTTCCTTTTCGTAACCAACTGACGAGTTAGTAACGCGTGGATAAGCTTGCACGATATTGGTGCTCGAGCTACAGGGATGTCGTAAAGCTTTCCAAAACACGAGTTTCTGATGCAATCGAACTCAGGCGTGCCTCGTAACACTTCGTGGACCAGTGTCAAAGTATCTGTCGGTCGTGAATAGATGTTTAAACGGCGACAAGGAAACCGATCTGTTGCGAACAAACGCCATGGTAATCTTAAATTAGGCCGGTCACCTATAAGATGCACAGTTTAAGTCTGAGTGTCACCAGAAATTTACAAATCATAAACTACAAAACAAATATTCAAATACGTACTAACCTTCCATCACTAGCTCTTCAATATCGTCTTATGCAATAACAAAAGTCTAACCTGAAAAAAAAGCTTGTCGGAAAATTTTCGCCGAATATAAGAATGAATATTAAAGTTGTCGGAAATATAAAATTTACTGTTAAGAGCTCAGTAATAAGGAAAAGAGGCGAAAGGGATATTATTGTCATTTGTATCAGACAAACAGTAGAAAAGTGTGTTTTGTGGTAATTAAAATACAAAAGTCCCTTTTTTAGACATTAGATAACTTAAAAGTCCACCTAATAGTAACACACTCTTTAATATATATGATAATATATATGAAAACCGGAAATTATCTACCATTTTTATAAGATTTTTCTACACTTTAATTAGTAAAACAGAACATAAGCTATAGTCACAAAATACAAAAACTTTATAAAAAAATACACACAAAGAAAAAGAGTTTTTTTATAATGCCAGATCTCAGAATAGGAGATGTGCAACAGATTCTACACGATTCAAAGGATATTTGTAATGAGTTAGCAATTCAATTAAAATTATGAAAGACCACCATCTGAAAAACAAACACATAATATACATGGTCAATACAGTTTAAATGAACAAACAAAAACTATTTTACGAAATTTTTATTATGGATCTTTTTTAAAAAAATAATGATGATGCACGATGTATTTGTTCTTTAAACGGATGATTCACAATATTAGTGTACACTAAACCAACAAAGATTGATGTTAATATATCTAAGAGAGATGTATCTACATCCTTTTTTGGTCGTCAGTATGTATATATCCTTTATTAGAAGATTTACTTATGCAATTTTTGTTGTTGATTCATTTTGTTTAATGATATTTTATTTTATTTTTGACAAAAAAATAAATTTTCATGCAAGTCCAACCATGCACCAAAACACCAAATTTCGTGTTGATTTTTTTATGTTTTGTGAATAGGTGTAACACTATTTACAACATATTAAAATATTATTTTTTCATTTTCTCATATAATTATATTATTATTTATTAGTTAATTAAATTATGTTGGTTTAGAAATGTAAGATCCATTTTTGTAATTTAGAATTGCACAAAATATCGTTATTAATATGTAAATAGATTAAGATTAAAAATACATAATAAAATTCAATTAAACAATTCAACATAAAATTACTGAATAAAAAAAACATAAAAAAACAAAATACAACAAGATAATTTTAAAGACATATATAATCAAATTACATAAGAAACATTATATAAAAGTTTATAAGATTACTATAAACTTATAAGAGTTTATAAAACTATAATTATTTTGTCAAGATAGGTAAATTAAAGACCAAAAAACTCATATTGAACTTCGAAATGCATTTATTGAACATTTATGTTCAGGATATGCTAATTCTGAAAATTAGTACAATATAATCTATTTGGTACTATTTTTTATCGATTGTAATCTTTTTTATCATCGAATGTAATGTTATATGAAATTTATAATTAATATATTCTTTGAATAATTAGTATTCATCAAAATTATTAAAAAATAAAGAGAATTTTAAATTTAATAATATAATAATATAAAGTATTATTTTTAGTGTAAGATTTTGTATTGTGGTTGAAAATAAAAAAAAACACTATTTATTTTTACACAAAATTTTACTTTATTATCAATAACAAATTTGGTGTTATAATTGGAAATGATCTAAGTTCTAAGAAAAACACATTATTTTTCGGGCCAAAACAAAAAGGCTCTTGCTTTGCTAAATTAAGAGAAAATGAAAACAACAAAACTATTTGACCAAAAAAAAAAACTACAAAACTGATGTAACTAACAACAAATTACAACACAAAAAAAAAACAACAACAAATTACAAAACTCCTGACCTTACGTCCTATTAGCAAAATCCAATAAAAAAAGAAGTAAAAAAAAAAAATCAACTTTAACATTAGCTTGAGCGCGAGAGTTTCTTAATTCCAGGAGACTCGACCTCTTAAACCAATCATAAAGCACGACCTTCTCCAAATATCATCTGATCGGGATCGAGATATAGTGCTTTTAAATCACGATCGTAGTGGAGAAGATGGATGATCGGAGCGAAGACCGTGATATAGAGGTTGAAGGAGGTATTTACGCGTATGACAGGAAGATATCTGGGATTACTGATGATGGATCTGTCGTATACCAACCTCTGCTCGCAAGCAGGAATCGAAAGAACACAACTTCGCAGATCGCAATTGTCGGAGCAAATACTTGTCCGATCGAAAGTCTTGATTACGAGTCTGTGTTTCTTTTCCCCTTCTCTCTTTCCTATTCTGCGCAGACTTTCCAATTTCACTTCTTTTATGATCAAATCTATGAATTGTATAAAGTTTTGATTTTGTAGATTATGAGTCTATGAAGTTTCCATTTCCTGTTCAATTTCGTAATAGAGGAAAATCAATGAGATAAGGTTTATGATTATGTAACTTTTTTGGGTCCCATCTACTTTTAAACATAGTGTTTATTAATAAGTAAAAAAAAAAATTGAAGCTTTTAGCTTTTGGAACATCATAGCCATTTGAAAAAGTGCAAAGCTTTTTGTTGGGTCTTGTCGGAAATGGAGAAGAAGGAACTAATCTTTAAGATGCAATCTTATTTATTTTCAGACTAAATTAACTTTTTTGTGCGTGTGTGTGTGTCCTACTGCTAATGCTTAATTGTTGTCTTGCCTAATTTTGGTAGGATAGTTTGGTGTGTCTTCTCTATGTAACGTATCAGGATCTTGATTTATAAGCTCAATTATGGCAGGATATTTGAGAATGATCTTTTCAAGCAGGACTGGAGGTCTAGGAAGAAGATTGAGATACTTCAGTATACAATTCTCAAATGGGCGCTTGCTTTCCTTATCGGTTTATCCACTGGACTCGTTGGCTTTTTGAACAACCTTGCTGTTGAGAATATTGCTGGATTCAAACTCTTGCTCACCGGCAATCTCATGCTCAAGGAAAAGTAAGTCTAGTTCTTTCATTGTTTTCATCTCTGCTTCTTCTGCCTAATTTAACTCTTATGTGTGTGTTTGAATTCAGTTGATCCTGTTACTCTTATGCACCGATTATAATGTAAGCTTTCTATAATACTGCAGATATTTTCAGGCATTTTTTGCATTTTCCGGCTGTAACTTGATTCTGGCAACAGCTGCTGCTTCACTCTGTGCTTTCATTGCTCCGGCAGCTGCAGGATCCGGTATACCTGAGGTTAAAGCCTATCTCAATGGTATAGATGCTTATTCAATATTAGCTCCGAGCACACTCTTTGTCAAGGTAAGATCCCCAAAACATCTTTTCAAGCGTCTTTCTTCATCTGATTAAAGGATATAGTTACGGAAGAACAACTTCCAGTTAGGCTCTGTAGCCTTTTTCTAAGATGAAATATTTCGTATTGGCAGATCTTTGGTTCTATATTTGGAGTTGCTGCCGGATTCGTAGTTGGAAAAGAAGGGCCTATGGTGCATACTGGTGCTTGCATTGCTAATTTACTTGGACAAGGTGGTTCTAAAAAGTATCGGTTGACTTGGAAGTGGCTCAGATTCTTCAAAAACGATAGAGACAGAAGAGACCTGATCACTTGCGGGGCTGCCGCTGGTGTGGCAGCTGCTTTCCGTGCTCCAGTTGGGGGAGTGCTTTTTGCTCTTGAAGAAGCTGCTTCATGGTAATTTTCTCTTCCTCTCAAAGTCCTTATAATAACTTATCCAGTGAATATGCAAGTGAGGTCATTGTAGTGTGCAGACTCTGCTTTTGTATAGTAGCTTATGGCGTATGCTTCATAATGCAAAAATGACATTTTAATAGTCAAAACTAGGACAGAAAAAGGTATACTGCAAAAGTTCAAAAAAATCACTATGCTTGTCTAGTTTAAAACATAATTCATGCAACAGGACTAGTAAGCGAGAAATCTAATTGATACGTAGTGTAGACGATTTGCATATTTTCTTATATCCAACTTGGAAAAGATTATGTCTTATTTTGTTGAACTTCGTTAGGTGGAGGAGTGCCCTTCTTTGGAGGACCTTCTTCACTACCGCAGTTGTAGCGGTGGTGTTACGAAGTTTGATTGAGCTCTGTCGATCTGGGAAATGTGGACTGTTCGGGAAAGGAGGTCTCATCATGTTTGACGTAAACTCGGGACCAGTGCTTTATAGCACTCCAGATTTGCTAGCAGTAGTATTCCTAGGAGTTCTTGGCGGTGTGCTTGGAAGCCTTTACAACTACCTTGTGGACAAAGTCCTCCGCACATACGCTTTAATAAACGAGTACGTCACTTCTCAACAAGTTAACTCTTTCGTAAAATTTAATTCTTTCAGTGAATCAGTTCCTTGCCTCTGTTGCTACTAGATCGTGCCTGGAAGTTTTAATGTAATTTTAAATGTAATTGGATTTGGTTTAATTTGCAGGAGAGGTCCGGGATTTAAAGTTATGCTTGTTATGGCAGTTTCCATTTTGACCTCGTGTTGCGCATTTGGTCTCCCATGGCTTTCACATTGTACCCCATGTCCTATTGGAACAGAGGGCAAGTGCCCAAGCGTAGGTCGATCCGGAATCTATAAGAGTTTCCAGTGTCCTCCAAACCACTACAATGACCTTTCCTCCTTACTTCTCAACACCAATGATGATGCAATCCGCAGTCTTTTCACTTCCAGGTCTGAGAATGAGTTCCAAATCTCCACACTTGCCTTGTTTTTTGTCTTTATCTACTGCCTTGGCATCATAACATATGGCATAGCAATACCCTCTGGGCTTTTTATTCCCGTCATTCTCGCTGGAGCCTCTTATGGACGGCTAGTGGGTAGACTTCTGGGTCCAGTATCTCAGCTTGATGTAGGTCTGTTTGCTTTGCTTGGAGCTGCTTCTTTCCTTGGAGGCACAATGAGAATGACGGTCTCTCTATGTGTCATACTTCTCGAGCTTACAAATAATCTCCTTATGCTGCCATTGGTGATGCTTGTACTCCTAATCTCAAAAACTGTCGCCGACTGTTTCAACAAAGGGGTCTATGACCAGATTGTGACAATGAAAGGACTGCCTTACATGGAAGACCACGCAGAGCCATACATGCGCAATTTGGTTGCAAAAGACGTAGTTTCTGGACCTTTGTTATCCTTTTCAAGTGTCGAAAAGGTTGGGGTAATATGGCAGGCTTTAAAGATGACAAGTCATAATGGTTTCCCTGTTATTGATGAGCCACCTTTCACAGAAGCTTCTGAGCTATGTGGAATCGCCTTGAGATCCCATCTCCTTACGCTTCTCCAAGGGAAGAGATTCTCGAAACAGAGAACAGCATTTGGTTCTCAGATCCTGAGAAGTTGCAAAGCCCGTGACTTTGCGAAAGCGGGATTAGGCAAAGGGCTCAAGATTGAGGATTTGGATATAAGTGAAGAGGAGATGGAAATGTATGTTGATCTCCATCCAATCACTAATACATCTCCTTACACTGTGCTTGAGAGTTTGTCTCTAGCTAAAGCGGCTATTCTTTTCCGGCAACTTGGCCTTCGCCACTTGTGTGTCATTCCCAAAACAGCAGGGGTCAGTCTCCCTCTCTCTTTCTCTCTCTCCCTCATTATTTGTCTAGAGATTTGTTTATGTTTATAATGTGTTTATCTTTGTATCGCAGAGACCGCCTATTGTTGGGATACTTACAAGGCATGATTTTATGCCGGAACATGTCCTGGGACTCTACCCTCACATTGATCCTCTCAAGTGAATATGGTTAGCCGTTTAGTCTTCCTTGTTGCCTGCATTTGATTTGAGTTTTTTTTTTTTCATCTAATTCCAAACTGTTTCATTTGATTTTTTTTTTTTCAGGGGATGAGGAATGGAGAAACAATTCCTTAAGAGTTCCTCAGTTTATAATCGATATAATGAATATGCACATCAAAATCTAAACCCCAGATGAGCTCTGCTTTGCTCTCATGCCGGCATTTATATTTATTTATTTCAATTATTTGTTGAAGAATATTGGGAAAGTAGGGGAATGGAATTGTGCAATGAAGTGAATTGGGTAATACAAGGTTGGTTTGGCTTTCAAGTCTAAAAGGCTTAGACTAAAATCTATTATATTAAAACAGAAACACATTTAGTACTTGCTTTCAAACATTTTTAATTTTTTTTTAAGTGTTTAAAAATAATTTTAATAATTATTTATATTTAATTTCGAAAATTAGTTATTAATTTAAATATTTTTAGAGTTCCTTAAATATAGGTAATTTAGATTTGATGATTTGATTAAAATAATAAATCAGATATTAATTTAGATTTGATTTAAAGATTCTAATTTAAATAATTTCTATACTATTAAACATTTTTATCAAAAATATCTAGAATTTTAATAATCATAATTAATTTTAATACTATAAAAATATATCTAAACACAAAAATCAATATTTTCACTTATTAAAAAATATTTTTATAAAAATAATTATATCTAAACTCAAAAACACAAATTATATTACAAAATTCGTTAAACAATAAAAAATATTCTCGTACGGATGCACGGAGTTAGATTCTAGTATTAAATTAAAATAGAAAATAAATCACATGTATCTTATTATGTTGTAAGCCAATCTCATTTTTGTGCTTTAGTAATCTTTAGGGGTGTATTCCAATGAGGCATTTGATGTTGTTTCTGTTAAAAAAGAAAATTATGATGCTATTCAATATTAGATTTTAAACACTCCTATAAAATCTGGTGTTGTCACTGGTTTTCGTAAATGTTTCTTAAAATTTCAAGATTATTGAAGTGGTGATTTAGAAAGTTACATTCAAAGCTACTGTTCTTGAAAATAATTTATGCATTATTCTTTTTGTTATTTTAGTGTGTAGAAAATACAAAGATGATTACATGGATTTAAATAATTTAAAATGATTTTAATAACAAATTATAACATCTCTAAATTTCATCCAAAATCAATAAAATACTCAACAAAAACTCAAACCATTCCAAATAGTGTAGATTAAGGAAAACTCCAGACATTCCCTATCTATTTCTGATGTTGCAATAAATGTTCTTTTCTGATGGACTCAATAAAATGCTTAGTGCACTTTGTTTGTGTAAATTAGCATAGATTCCATAACACAACTTCTCATGATGTCATTATTCATTTTTCAATGTGTCTAAATAGAATAGCAATAAAATTTAATATTTTAATAAAACAACAAAGCTAACACATATTTTAGTGACCATGATCCAGACACACATTTAGAGACATTATATTAGAACAGAACTTGGGCATTGTGTACAAATTAAACTACACACTTGAAGAATGAAGACATGGGAAGTGGGTACATCAAAAAAATAGAAGTGTTGGAGTTTAGATAGAAATTCGCATTAAGTCCTACGTGATGTAGCTACATCTTATCTCTATTTCTTAAATTGCAAGTTACTCTATTTTTGAGTTATTTTCAACTTTTATTACTATTTCATTTTTCCTAGATCGAACTTCTATTAGGGTTTATTTGTGTTTAGGTCGAGCTTGACCATACCTATATAAGGCTTTGTATTCTTTCTTTTGATACTCGGTTTTTGATCATTAATAAGAAGAGCTCTTCTCTTTAACGAAGTCTTCGAATTCTCCTTATTTTAAAAAGAATTTTGAACAACAAAACAGAGCCTCTTGATCCATTGATCTTTGAGTTTTGTCTTGCCATTTTATCTGCTGCATTAGTTGGTATCAGAGACCAAAACTTCCTGAAGATGCCGCCTAAAAAGAGCCTTTAAGCAACCCTCAAGGATCACAACGAGGCTTTTAGGGATTTGATGATGGAGTTCAACAGAATTTGAGCAACTCTATGCGCACTACAATGGAGGCTGTGGTGCGAACACTCGTGCAAGCGCAACAAAATGCTGCTCCAGTGTTTCTACCTCGACGGGATTCAGTCTTCGACATTGATGACGATGAAGAAAAAAATATCTTCGCAGATCAGTTTGATCAGCAGGGCGAACCGATCCAACGTGGAGGGCGTCAACATCGCGATCTTATTGCTGTGCCTCGTGAGGATAATTGAAGATGGGAGTCTGGTTTTAAACTCGACTTACCTGAGTTCACCGGTGGACTCCAAACTGAAGAATTTCTTGATTGGATCAACACAATAGAGGAGCTGCTCGAACTTAAAGAAGTCCCTGATCTGATGCGAGTGTCCCTTGTGGCCACGCTTTTTCGAGGTCGGGCTTCTATGTGGTGGCAGCAATTAAAAGAGTTCCAAGCTCGAGCATGGAAGGAACGCATATTGTCGTGGGAAAAATTGAAGAAGATGATGAGGAAAGCTTTTCTGCTGTATAACTATACTCGAACTATGTATACAAAGCTGCAGAACTTGCACCAAGGAAATCGTACGGTTAAGGACTATGCTTCTGATTTTTTTCTCCTTGATGGCTCGTAATTCATTGACAGAGAACGAAGAACAGAGGGTGTCTCGGTTTATCGGTGGTTACGTGCACCCATTCAGAGTGCACTACTTCAGTTTGATCCTTTGACGGTTTCTGAAGCTCACCAACGAGCTGTGTTAATCGAACAGCATTCACGGAACCAGAACTTGTCATGGATCTCTCAGCGTATCAGACTAAACTCTGTTTCCCAAGCCAGTTTGTCAAAGTCAATGGAGCAAGCTAAAATTGCAGATAACACCGACGGGAATCCTCCTATGGTACAACAATGCCGACAACTTTTAAGTGTTTCAAGTGTGGTGAAACAGGTCATCGACAATCGGCTTGTCCTAATCTTCAGCGTCGTGGCTTGTTGGCGAAAGATGATCCTGTTTGACGATTATGGAGATGACAAAGATGTTGGTGATGATTTAGAGGAAAAGGTGGTTGGAGATTCTGGTCCTATGTTGATGTTGCGCAGGAATATCTCATTCCCCAAGGCATCGAACAATCATGGCTTCGAACAAACATATTTCAATCGACTTGTACGATACGTGGAAAAGTTTGCCGCCTGGTTATTGACTCTGGAAGCTGCATCAATGCAATCTCTGGAAGCTGCACCAATGCAATCTCTGGAACTGCACCAATGCACTGAGGTGTGAAGTTTCCATGGCTTAGCCTCTTTTTATAGGCGATTTATTCAGAATTTTAGTAGCATTATGGCACCAATTACAGACAGTATGAAGTCTGTTTTTTTTTGCTGGACTCCCGAGGCTGAGCTTACGTTCTAGACGATTCACTTTAGCCCCTGTTCTCATTCTCCCTAACTTCAATGTGGCTTTTAAGTTGCATTGTGATGCGTCTAAGACAGGAATTGGAGCAGTTCTTAGTCAGTCAGGCGTCCTATTGCCTTTTTCAGCGAGAAGATTGCAGGTTTGTTTGCGCGTTATAGCACTTATGACGTTGAGCTCTATGCGGTGGTTCAGCCTGTGAAGCATTGGACACACTATCTGTTTCATCGGGAGTTTGTTTTTTACACTGATCATGATGCTCTTAAGCATATGGGTTCTCAGTACAAAGTCTCCGCGCATCATGCTTCCTGGATTGCTTACTTGCAGCAATTTTCTTTCGTCATCAAATATACTGCAGGGACTCTCAATAAGGTCGCAGATGCACTTAGCTGTCGACATTCATTGCTCACAACTTTACATGTCTCCATACCTGGTTTTGAAGTACTTTCGGAGCTATATCCTATTGACCCTTTTTTTAGAAAGATTTGGCGCGATGCAGAGCAGGGTGTGGGTTCTGACCACTTGATCTTTGATGGCTTCCTGTTCTGTGGTGCTCATCTGTGCATTCCCGAGTGCAGCTTGCGTCTGCAGTTGATCCAAGAGCCCCATGGAAAGGGTCATATTGGGAGAGATCGAACACTTAAGCTGGTCAGTTCGTCGTATTTTTAGCCGAGTTTGAGGCGTGATGTTGAGCGGTTCATTCTGCGTTATGGAATTTGTCAAGCCGCTAAAGGAAAAGCCACTAACGCGGGTTTACATTTGCCTCTTCCGATTCCTACAAAGCTGTGGTCTAACATAAGTACGGATTTTGTGCTCGGTTGACCTAGCACTCAACGAGGTAATGACTCTATATTTGTTGTTGTTGATCACTTTTCGAAGATGGTGCACTTTATTCCTTGCTGGAAGACGACTGATGAGGTTCAAGTTGAGATTTTATTATTTCGGGAGGTGTACAAACTTCATGGTCTTCCTTTGTCTATCGTGTCAGATAGAGATTTACGTTTCCTAAGTCATTTCTGGCAATTTTTTTGGCGTCTCCTTCGCACGAAATTGGACATAAGTTCGGCCTATCATCCTCAAACCGATGGTCAAACCGAGGTTACTAATCGAGCATTAGGAGATTTTCTAAGTTGTCTCGTTGGAGATAACACTGAGACCTGGGATTCAATTCTGTGCCAAGCCGAGTTTGTGCATAACCGTGTGGTTAACCGCAGTACAGGTTTTAGTCCATTTCAGGTGGTTAATGGATGTTTACCTTGCTGTCCATTGGATCTCGCTCTCGCCCCCGATCGTTCACGTTTTTATGGCCGCGCATGTGATTTTGTTGATGATTTTTGCTGCAGTTCACGAGCAGGTGCATTCAAATTTGGAGGCTGCAACTGCAAAGTATAAAGCCGATGAGGATGTTCGACGTCGTGATGTCTAGTTTGCTGTTGGAGATATGGTTTGGGTGGTGCTTACTAAAGGTCAATTTAAATCGGGCACTTACAATAAGCTCAAATCAAGGAAGATTGGCCCTCTTCAAGTTGTGGAGAAGATAAACAACAATGCTTATCGTTTGCAGTTGCCTCCGCAGATGAATACGTCTGATGTCTTTAATGTCAAGCATCTTGTTCCTTTTGTTGCAGACGATGATGCTGAAAATTTGAGGTCGAATTTTCTTCTTACCCCGGGGGAGCTGATGTAGCTACATCTCATCTCTATTGCTTATTCTATTAAGGTTTATTTGTGTCTAGATCGAGCTCGATCATACCTATATAAGGCTTTGTATTATTTCTTTTGATACTCGGTTTTTGATCATTAATAAAAAGAGCTATTCTCTTTAACGAAGTCTTCGAATTCTCCCTGTTTTACAAAGAATTTTGAGCAACAAAA